GACACTTCCATTCGAGAGTCATTGGTCATTGTCCCCAATTCTACACTGAACCCAGGATATATTGCAATTTAAGAGAAAAAACTGTTACTTTTCTAGATTACCTGGGTCAAATTCTTTCCAGGGGTGAAGGATGCAGCTCAAAGGTGAAAATAGGCTGTTTCCCATGATGGCTTGAGATTTCTGTTTAAAAAAAAAACAAGGTCTAGGGGCTGGGAATTTAGCTCAGTGACACAGCACCTGCCTGGCAAGCGTGAGGTCATGAGTTCGATTCCCAGTACTGGGAAAAAAATAAAAAATAAAAAAAAACAAAGTCTAGGTCTACAGCTCACCTTGAGAGTGTCCTTGAAAGTTGCCCTGAAGTGACCGGCCTAGGGGTATTGCCCCTAAGTGTCTGCCTGAGCTACCAGATGTCTCTGGCACAAACTTGCCACCAGTGCAAGGCTGGGATCCCCGAGAATTTTCTACAGACTATGACAGCCTCAAGACCATGGTGCAGTTCTCTGCTCTGAGCATTGGTCCACGTTTGTGACCATACGAATCAAACTGGGCTCTTGTGAAGAGAGCATGAATCGCAGTCCGAATAGCCCACTGTGTTAGAGCGAGGAATGGAAATTAGAGCCTATTCTGAGTGTTTCATTTAAAGGCATCAAAAAGCTGCCAAAGACTATCCATATTATAATTCACTTCTAAAGTCTTAATCTTTGTGACTTTATGACAACTAAACAGATAATTAATGAGGCATAGCAAGCCTCAAACCCTCTCTGGGTTCTCCAACTAAAATACTCCCAACACCTGTCCTGACAAATGGGGCACTGGGATGGAGTTTGGATTTTGTCCCAACTGGTGCGGCACAGTACAGGGTGGTGGGGACAACTGGCCTGGTGTCAGGCCACCACCAGAGGGAGACAGCCTCCCATAGCAATTTGATTATGACCCACGTGATGACAGGTGACATCCAGTAGGACGTGATCTGCCATTTTTTCCTCCCAGCCATACTGGGGCATATTGGCCCTGGTGTATGGGGGAACCAGGGCTTTTTTCCTTCCCCCATGGGTGGATGGACTGCAACACCATCCCTCCCAGGTCGGTGTCACATGAGGGAGCCCCCAGAGGGACTGGGGCTGGGGCATGCAGGAAGCTCAGCCTGTACTTCCGTTCGGCCCCCACCACCTACACAAAAGAGTACTAGAGCAAGAGTGACTCGCAGGAGCAGGCTTAAAGACAGCTTTATTTTAGACAGAGAAAAGTTCGTTTTGGACACACACACACACACACACACACACACACACACACACACATGCACGCCTGCCTGAGGCGTGGATTTGCCTTCTGCCTGGTGCAGACCGAGTCTGTTCCACAACCGGGTTATGGTGTCACGGGCATCTTCAAGTGTGGGGTGCCCTGCGGCTTTTAACTGCCTGACCCAGGCGCACAGGGAGGCAGCGAGACAGGCTTTTTGTTGTTGTTGTCTTTACCCCCTCTCTGGCTCACTGGATAGGTGGGCTCTGTCCCTGCTGATATCCAAGCTCTGGGTATCCCAAAGAAATGAGCAGGACACACAGAAGCAGTAAGAAAAGCAGAGGTCTGGCGAAAGGGAAAGCACGCTCTGCAGAGTAGGAGCAGGCTGACAAGAAAAGTTGAGGGCTGAGCTTCACCGGAGCACCCTCATCTGACTTTGGTTTTGAGGCGTTTATTGAGACTTTTTCTGAGTCTTGGGGTCTCAGTGGTGCTTATCAGGATTCTATCCAATTAACTGAGAGTCTCCACCCTCACATCAGGAGGGTGACTTCTTGAACTTATATGGGTCTAGTTGGCATAAGCGTGATTGCCAAAGCTCACCACGGGGCTCAAAGTTGCAATGCTAATGATAGTAGAACGACCCGGGGTTACCCTGCATGAGTCTAAAGCACTTAGAATGCATGCTCCTCGGGCTCAGGCCAGATGCCAAGGACGTGTGATGCGGGCAGGAGCATATCTCTTAGGCTCATGCCAGGTTGTTGAGTAAGTATGGTGAGGGTAAGAGGCTGTTAGCCTAAGGCCCGGATGTTTCCCTCACGTTTATCTCCTGCCTCAGGGTCCATGGAGGGTGTGTTGACTCTACCCATGCTACAAACGGTAGCAGTGTACTGTGTCCATGGATCCCACCACTGTCCTACCATGCTGGTCCCTAACTCTGTCTCTCTAGGACTGGCAACCCAACTCCCCTGCACCCCAGGGCTTCCACTGTAGCAATAAACCAATAACTATATAATACACTGTCAGGCAGTGATAAATTATATGACAAAATAGAGGCAGTAGACAGTGATAGAAGTGTTCTTCGTGATTTCAGGGTCCAATCAGCCTTCCCAGAGGTAGTGCAGGTGTTTCCAGAAGCCTGAGCAAAATAAAGGAGGGAGCCACATGGATCGGGAGAGTTCTCAGAAGGGGCTGGAGGGGGTGTCGGGACCCTGAGGCACAGACACACCACGGCACAGGTCTGAGGAACAGCAAGCCATCCCCAGAGGCCAGGGTACAGTGAGGAAGGGCCACAGTGGCTGCCAGGCTGTATTGGAGGATTTTGAGCGGAGTAGTAATGTGATTTCACTTCCAGGTTGAAGGGGTGGCTGTGGATACTGGGTGCCGTTAGGCTGTGGGGGTCACGGGCAGAACCTGGGGAACCAGAGAGAAGGCTATCGGAGGAGGTGGGAGAGCCCAGAGAGGGGGAAGAAGAGATTCTGACCGCATTCAACCCTCTGTACCCATGAGAACCAGCTCCAGGATGCCGGTGGATGCCCACGTCCACAGATGCTCAAGTTCTTAACATAAAACGGTGTAGTATTTGCATAGAACTGTGGACTTTAAATCATCTCTAGCCGACTTAGAACTTCCTTCGTAAAAAGGCCAAAGTGCAGGAACACTGCCCACACTATAGTCTGTTTGGGGAACAGTAGGAATGGAAACCATTTGTAGGAATTTGCCTGTACTTCAGCAAAATTTCTAGAAGGTTCTGCACCAGGAACTACCCTTGTTATGGTGGTCGCATGCAAAGGAGGGGGGTGGGGAGACTGATGACTGGGACAGGAAGGAAATGTTTTGCTGCAGATAGACGTTTTCCAGTCCTTTCAAGATCTGAGCCACGAGAACACATCATCTGCTCAGAAAAATGAGGAAAATTCCAATAAATCTAACTCCCACGTTGAGCTTCTTCTCTAGAGAGATAAGAGAGCTGACACTAAGATGAGTCAAAGCTGCCTCAAATGCAGGCAGGTACAGGCTTGCGTGCACTTCATTAAAAGAGAAAAAGTTCCCTCATCACTTTTTTCAATTTTATTGACAAAGGCACTGAGTCCACAACTATTGTACTAGATTGACTTCCAGTGTCAAGAGAAAATAAAAAAATATGCTTTTTTCTTGTCCTTTTGTAATTGTCAAAACTCAATTATCATAGAGCCAGGGCAGGAAACCTGAGTGAAGAAGGCCTGGTGGCGCAGGGCACAAAAGAAATCACGGGAACGGGGAGGATCTCAGCGGCAGGGGCCGGCACAGCCAGCCCTGGCCTGGGGACTTGTCAGGCCCTGGGCGGGACTCGGCGCTCCTCCAGCTGCGTCAGAGGATTCTCCCGGCCACCCCGGTCACAGATGGAGAGACCCGAGCTCAGAGTCGCTAGTCCCAGACCACACAGCTGAGTAGCAGGGCCAGTGAGAGGAGCGCCTGCACCCCTTAACTAGTGATTCTTCACCACTTCCCTCCAAAACCACTCTGGGGCTCCCACAAACCCTCTTACTCCACCCTACACATGAAATAGAGTGTGATTCCTGTGATGGTGACTGGCACGGCCTGGGTGACTTGAAAGCCAGTTGGCCAACATAGTGCTATATCTGGAGCGCACTTTAACCTGCTTCCTTGGGGCACCATTTGCAGAACTTAAGATTGGCCGGTGTTACGCGCAAGGACTCGGCCTTGTTCAGCTGACCGTCCCCACCACCAAACGTCCCCCCTGCTTCCCTGCGGTCAATGCCCCGGGAAGCCACCCGTGGACTGTAGGTCTCTGGAGCTGCACTGGATCTGTGCATTTCACAGAGGTAGAATTACACGGCAAGTCATGCTCGGCTCGGTTTCTCTACCAGGCAGGGCAGCTGAGAGCTGCAGCCTGCCACGCACCGTCCAGAGCTTGTCCCTCCCATCTGTCCCGGACTGTGCTACGGTTCTTTGCTGCCCACTACCAGCTAATGGACATCTGGCTCGTTCCTACCCTTCGCGGAATATGAAGAAACTGCTGCAAACGCTGGCATCTTCGCGTCCCAGTCTTGAATGAGCATGGGTTTCTCTTGAGAAGCTACCCACAGAGAAGTTACTAGTTAAGTGTGTTTCTTGGTTTTTTAATTTTTTCATTTGCTTTGTTTGCAAGGGGGATTGAACCAGAGCCTTTGCATTGAGCTACATCTCCACCCTCTTGAGACAGTTTCCCTAAGTCGCTGAGCTGCCCAGGCTGCGCTCAAACTTGCCATCCTCCTGCCTCAGCTTCCCAGAGTGCCGGGATTCCTGGCAAGCACCACCATGCCGGGCATGTTTAGGTTTTTAAGAAATTGCCAAACTATCTTCCAAAGTGGCTGCGCTGCCTCACATTCACACCAACATGTGGGGTCATTCAGAGGGCTCTAAACATGTATGAATGTCAGCTTTTGTATTTCTCTTCCTCTTGGGGGCTAACCTGCAAACAAATGTATAGTTTTCAGATTTCTTCCAAAGTCACGCCCACAGAATGAAACACCCAGCCAACGCTCCACGGTTTGGAAGCCCGAGACCCCGGGCCAAGAGAGGTCAGAACACGCTCTCCAAACGGCAAGACTGCAGAGCCCGCGCTGACCCCTCTCCCGAGGGGCGGAGCCTCCGGGCGCGACCTGGAGTGCGCGCGCATCTCCTCCTGGGAGGGGGCGGGGCTAGTGGGTGGGGCCAAGAGGGCGCACACGCGCCTGCAGCCCCGCCCACCCGGCGCCGGGCTCCGGGACGAGGGCGGGACCGGGCAGGGAGCGCGGCCAGGCCCCGCCCATCCGCGCCGGCTCTGGGCGGGCAGCAGTGCCTCGCCGCGCACCATGGCCGGGCTGCTGGCCCTGCTGGGCCCCGCCGGCAGGGTGGGCGTCCGGCTCTGTCCTCGCGCCACCTGGCTCTTGGGCGCCGCCGCCCCCTGCGCCCCGCCGCCCCTGGCCCTGGCCCAGTTCCGGCCCGGCCCAGACGCCCGGCTGCTCCGCACCGCTTGCGGCGACTTCCGCAGCCACCAGGTAAGCCGCTCCACCCCCACCCCGACCTCTGACCCCCACCCTGAACTCTGATCCCCAGGTGCCCCCAGCAGGGCCTGGCCCCCTCCACTGCAAGGGAAGCCCCAGCTGCCTAGGATCCGACACCTGCAGGGCCCACGAGTCCCCAAATCCCTGCACGCCAGGAAGCTATCTTCCCACTTGACGGGCGGGGAAACTGAGGCTCGGGGATGGACAGCGCGCCGCCCAAGGTCATACAGCCCTCTTTCCGGAGCGTCGCCTCTCGTCGCCTGGGCAGTGATAAAGCCGGGAGAGGCCTGCGGGCTGGAACTCGCTCTGAACTTCCTCGCAGGCCTGCCATGCTCTCCCCTTTGATGCCCCACTCGGATCCCGCCCTGGGCCGGGGCAGCCGCAGGCGCGCGCCTCCCGGGAGCTGCTGCTGCTCCGCCCACCTTATCTGACTTGCAGTCCTCGGTGTGCTGCTCCCGATTACATTTCATTTCAGTGGCCCTGCCCGCAGAGTGCGGAGGGAGAGCTAGCTTCCCTTCAGAGCTGCAGTACAGCTTTTCTTTAAAAAAAAAAAAAAAAACTGTTTTTTGTTGTTACCGTCTTATTGGGTCTGTAAAGAAAAGCTGGCGGTACAGGCCTACGGGGTGAGGACCACCCGGGCCCGGAGACCCGGGAAGGAGAACGCGCGCAGCCCGGCTTGAATGGGGCCTCGTGCACCACCAGCCTGTGACCTGGGAGCCTCCAGCCGCCTGCTGGCCTTGCATTGGTCCGGGAATAGCAGGCGGGAGTGGGGGGACAGATGGACTGGCTAATGCAGGGCAGAGCGTGGCGCCACGATGGAGCCGCCTTTCTGGAACTAAGGTAGTTTTTCAGTGGGCGGCAGAGGGGTTTGGCCCGTGCCCTCGCCAGACCTCCCGCACAGACAGAAACACAGACAGCACAGTTGTATCCCGGCCCATAGCAGCCTCCTGGTCTTTCTCCAGGACCCAGGCCGGTTCCTTCCTCCAGGAAGCACCCCCGACCACCAGTGAAGCCTTGGGCGCCTCCAGTGGGCTCCCCTTGCTTGTCTCTTTCAGTCATCTATGTCAGACTTGTCTCCAGGCCAGGCCTGTGTGACGGCTGTGTTTGTAGTGGGGATGATCATCGGGTGTTGGATTCCTCAGATTTGTTTCTATTCTAGTTCTGTATCCTTGATCAACTGTGCTCACTCTTCTGTGTCTCGGTTTTCTCATCTGTAAAATGGGATGTTCATAATCACACTTCATAGTGTAAAAGTAAGATGTTTACACAAGACACGCAGAACACCCTCAAATTAATGTTAGCAATTGCAATCATAGTAAATATATACAGTTCCAGGGGCCCATGAGCTGACCTTGTTTTCCCTGCCCCCTGATAGGAGAGTAGGGTGGAATCCAAGTGGGATTGAAACCTCACAGGACGTTTAGAAAAGAAGATCCTCATGGCCCTGAGAAAACACTTCCCCAGTGGCCTGGGAGGAGAAGTATCTGGCTTGAACCAGCACCTGCCTGCAGTTCTGTCTTCCTTTATTTATTTATTTATTTTCGTTTCTTTGAGACAAGGTCTTGCTATGTAGGTCAGGCTAACTTTGAACTCACTGTGCAGCCGAGGCTACCCTCAGATTCAAGGCAATCCTCCTGCCTCAGCCTGCCCAGTGCTGGGATTACAGACGGGAACCACCACGCCTACCTGGGCTTCCCTTATTTAAACTCCTTCCAGCAGCCCTAGCTGGGTGCCTCTCTTGTCCCACTTGGTGTCTCTCCGTGGCCCTCCGGCAGCCCTGGATTTCACTTTTCTGTCTGTTGTCCCTTCTCCCCACGGCCCGTGGGCTCCTGGCAGGTTTTGCCAGTTCTGTTCATTGCTCCGTCCCCTACCCTTGCAGCAGTTCCTGGTTCAGGGGAGACATGTCGACATGGGGAATAGAGTGTAGCTGTTAAAAGCAGAGTCCTTGGAAGCAGCCCCAGCAGAGTTAGGTCCCACTCGGACAGCTGGTCCCTGTACGACCCCTGGGAAGTTACACAACCCCTCTGGGCTCCCGGGAGCCTCTTCCGGTAAGTGGGGATGTCAGTCATCCCTCTCCCTCAGAGCGCTGGGAGGATTAGATGGGTTAATACTTCCAGCGTGCTCAGAACACTGCCTGGTACAATTTAAACACAGTGAGGTGCCATTTATTATTTATCAAATCAATGAAAACGAGCACTGCTCTGAAAAATGTGGTCCACTTGCGGGACGGGTGGCTGGCCCCTTTTTCTGGCCCGCTTGCCCCTGCTCTGCTCTGGCTCCCGGTGCTTCACTCGGTGGTGGGGCAGGGAAGAAGGACCTCACACACATGCAGATGAGAACAGTGAGTGTGCACACCGACTGTGCTGTGACAGGCGCTCGGGGCGGCACCTAACACACTGCAGGTCCGTAAGGTCATGTCCCGGGAAGAAATGAGTGTCGCAGATTCCCCACTGCTTGCAAGTCCCACTTCAGTTCCTCTGGCTTAGCCTCTTCCGCCTCCTCAAGGGTGGGGAAGAAAAATGCGTGGCCCGCGGTGCCCCCTTGTAGCCACTTATAAAGGGAGCTACTTTCCCAGCTCTACAGGAGCGGGAGGAGAACTGTCACCACCTCCTTGCCTCGGGCAGCGGGTTCCACCTCCCCTTCCTCCGTCTCCTGTCCAGCCCTGTGCCCCAGCCACAGTGACTGCTGAGTGCGGAGCTTTCTGATAAACAAGCCCCATCCTCCCATCGCTGCAGAGGGGACAGCTGCCAGAGCTGATGGGAGGGCAGAGGACCCTTCCGGGCCCAAACACTGCCATTGGGCTGATGCCCACAGATCCCTTTCACTTCCCACCCTTGACACTTGGCCCCACCAGAGTCAATCATGCAGCCCTCTGTCTGTGTACAGACCCAGCGTAGCTGTCTGCTGAGGGCCCTTTTGTTTACACCCACTCATTTGGCAAATGGCCTTCTGGCCACGAAAGAAAATAAAAAGGCCGCCAGATTCCCAGCTACAGAATAAGCAGCATCTACCACAAGACTGTGGTGGAATAAACCATGAGGGACAATTCCCTGGGGCTTTGCTTATTTGTTTTTTGAGACAGGCTGTCAATATGTAGTTCAGGCTGGCCTTGAACTCACTGTGTAGCCTGGCCTGGCTTTGAATTCACAGAGCTCCTCCGGCCTCAGCCTCCCAAGTGTTCCTTTTGGTTGGAAAGAAGGTAGCCCAGGAAGGCCTCACTTAAGGTAGTATTTGTTAAGGATCTGAAGGCGGCAGAGCGGTGGAGGAGGAAATATTCCCGTTTCTATTTGAAATATGCACAACAGAGAAGCGGTGGGAGGATCCCTGCCCCCATCCTGTGCAAGCAGGAGAGAAGCCAGCCCCGAGAATGTGGAGAATGTGCCCGGGGAGGCAGGGCAGGGGAACTGCTCCGACAGCCCTGGCTGGAACCTCAGAGTCCGCTGGTGAGCCGATGACAGATCCCCATCCTGTAAAATCAGATTCGGGGCACACGGATACAGGTACACAGGGCAAAGGTCTCCAGGCCCTCACTCGGTGTCTCAGACAGGTGGACACCCCGCAGGCCACTGGCAGCTGGAGAAACAGGCAGTATCTGCATCTGATGTGCTCAGTGTAGTCCCTGCTTCCAGCAGCAGGTCAGGGGCATCTTGAAGCTGGCAGATGTGAAGCCTGCTGCTCACTTGAGCACTCATAGTCTTTCTTTTCCTCCAGGGTGGCCTGACCCCTGTCTCCTGGGTCGGGTTCTAGGCCAGCCTGTCCCTTCCCTTTGCCTTTGCAGGAGATGGCTCGGGGAAGAAGCGTCCAGCTGCAGGATCCATAGCTAGAGCCAGCCTGCAGGCCGGTGCTTGCCCCTTGCTGAGACGAGCGCTGAGCACTGTCCTAAATCTTGTAGTTAGAAAGGCTCAAGGCCGGGCGTGGAGACCCACTCCCGCGATTCCAGCACTCAGGAGGCTAAGGCAGGAGGATCCCTGCGAGTTCAAGGCCAGCCTGGATTACACAGCAAAACCCTGCCTCAGAAAACCAAAATTTAAAAAGTCCTCTGTTGATGTTTCTAATCCGAGTATAGTTGGTGTTTTTTTGTTGTTTTGATTGTTTCTTCCAAACATTTCAGGCTCAGGAGGTGATCGATAAATGTTAACGGGTCAATAATAAATGTTAGGGCTGGGGATATAGCTCAGTGGCATAAGCGCCTACCTGGCAAGCGCAAGGTCATGAGTTCGATCCCTGGTACCGCAAAACTAATAATAATAAATGCCACACATAATGAATTATTTCTATACAAATCCTAGTCAGTGTGCGGTCCAGGAGTTGGCCCTTCATTGAGTAAATCCGGACCCTGAAGGTAATGTGAGACCATAGCTTTCGCTCCCTTTGGGTCTGCCCCACTGTCGTTTAGGGTAGCACATAGCTTGGTGGTGGCGGTGCGCTCACGCCGCAGACAGCCTGGACGCTTGTCTCGCTGGCTTTGGGCCAATGAGTTGACCTCACCAAGCCCGTGCCACCCATCTAGGAAGTGGGAGAAGCAGTTGCTGTTAAGAGAAAGGGGGAGCAGGTGGGGAAAATGCTCCGTGGAGGATCGCTGCTGTCCCCAAGCAAATGAGCCTGAGCTTCCGGTCACTCTTGCTCTCTGACAGAGGGCCACATGGTTTATCTCACAATCCCCAGGGGGCAGAAGGCCAACCTGAGTCTGGCTGGGCTACAGTCAGGTATGAGCAAGGCTGGTTCCTTCTAAGCGCTGTAGGGGAGGATCCATTCCCACCTTTTGCATCTTCTGGAGGCCGCCTGCATTCCTTGGCTGTGGCTCTCGCCTCCATAAACTAGCAGCGCCGGGTCTGCAGATTGCTGTCTCTGTGCCTCTCCTGCCTCCTTCCTTCCCCTCTAAGAACCATTGTTGGGCCCACTGAAGTCATCTAGAATAATCTCCCCACCTCAAGAGCCTTAACCACATCTGCAAAATGCTTTTGCCGCGTAAGGTCTCGTAGTCACGGATTCTGGGGATCTGGACGTGGTGTGTCTGAGACCACCATTCTTCTAGCCGTGCATCCTACCTAGCCTTTGGTCACACCAGAGCGAGAAGTGGGCCTTAGTCCCACTCAGTAAGCTGATCTCTCCCTGGGTAGAGAAGGGCGGGTGGAGCTGGGTATGGTTGTGCACGCCTGTCATCCCAGCACTCAGGAGGCTGAGGCGGGAGGATTGCTGCAAGTTCGAGGCCAGCCTTGGCTACAAAGTGAGTTCAAGGCCAGCCGAGCTGCATAGTGAAACCCTGTCTCAAAAAGACAAAAAGTGCGTGGTGGTGAAGACCACAACCTGGAGCCCCCTTTGCATTGTGCGCAGGAGCCCAGCAGACTCACCGAGACCCCAGGCAGCAGCAAGGCCGGCAGCATCGAGAGCAAGCAGAGCAAGTCACAGCAGCTGAGAAAGGTTTTCCGAGAGTACGGAGCCGTGGCTGTGTCACTGCACATTGGGATCTCATTAATCTCCCTGGGCCTATTTTACATGGTGGTTTCAAGGTGAGATTCTCAACAGTAATAAGTGTTGGGTTTTTACTGCCCTAGAAGACACCCTGGGAATGAGAATTTTTTTCTCAGACTATTCACCCAGATACTTTTATCACATTTTAAAAATATGTAGATCTGAAAGCCAAATTGATTTCTTAACCCGTTGCTGTAATAACTGTTTTCTTTGCCTCCTCCCCCGCCAGTGGCGTAGATATGTCTGCAGTCCTGCTTAAACTCGGATTTACAGAGTCGCTGGTGCAGTCGAAAATGGCAGCGGGCACCAGTACCTTCGTGGTGGCCTACGCGATCCACAAGCTGTTCGCGCCCGTGAGAATCAGCATCACCTTAGTCTCCGTGCCCTTTCTGGTCAGATATCTTCGGAAAGCGGGACTTTTTAAACCTCCAGCTGCGAAACCTTGATGAGCCCTCCAAGTGCAGGCGCTGAAAACCTAGTGTTAGATTGTATGATTTGGACTGACGTTAGGATTGTGGGTTTCTCTGAGCGGAAGCAGGGAGTTAATTGCTACTGTTCATGGATAAAGTTTACCTTTGCCACCGAAAATCAGGCTTTTGAATAACTGTAAATTGGGGCTTTATAAGTTTTGCTAATGCTATTCATCATAGGGCCACACACATAATCTGAAATGTCAGCATCACACATGAGTTAACATCACAAAATCAAACAGCGGACTCAAATGTTGCTTCTAGAAGACCCTTGGTGAGGATCTGTCTGCAAAAGCCCCTGGGGTTCCTCATGCGCAGGTTCTTTAAAAGCAATGATTCGTTTAGCTAGCTTTTAAAATTCCCTTTCCACTGATTTGTTGTCAGCAGCCTGCAGTTTAATATGCAGTGTTGTGTAAAATAGCTGCCAGTGCTACAATTACTGAAGCAGAAGTTAATATATGATCATAGTCCAAATTAGCATCAGCCCTTTGACATTCGTTACACTCTGGGGAAAGGAAAGCAGGTATTTCTGGTGTGTTTCACTGATCCCTAAGCACCTGCAAACCTGGGCATCTTTGAGTGTGAGATGGTTTTTCTGAAATTTCATTGAAGTAAGCCAGGGTCACTTGTCTCTCTTTACATGAAATATAGAACCTTGCCCAGTAGTAATGGTATCATGTGGCTTCTGATGCCCACCTTCAGGCTGTGGATACCACACACATAAAAAGCTAAGATAATCTTAGCCCTACTTGACAATCTTCCTTTAACTCTTATTTCAAACTTCAGACATTCCAGACTTGTCACAATGTTTACATTGTGTCACTACTCATATTTTTAAACTGAACTAAAATTATAATTTACACATGAAAGATTTGTACTACTTCCCAGAAAGAAAATGAGTAGCACTTGCTATACGTGGAAGACATCCAGAAAATATATTTATACAGGGAAGGGTAGGAGACTGCCAGGTATACGTAGCCTACCAACCCAGTTCTACCCAACAAAGGGCAGGTGTGCTAGGGGATTACAACTGAAGCACAGAGACCCAGACTTAAGACTTCCTCCTCTCAGAAGTGGGTTAAGACTTTTCTCTGGGCTCTGACTCTCTGGGGCCTCAGTTTTGTTACGTCTGCCCTGCCTAATGTTTGAGGGGCTCGTATTTATCTTTCTGGCTCACAATTCCCTCTTTAAAAATTGTGTCTGTGACAGTTAGAAAGCTAAAGAAACCACGAACTATTGGTTTTACTAAGCTCTGGCGGTGGACAGTCCCCTGGTTAAACCCTAATTACCGATGCCAATTGGTTATCTCAATTAACATTGAAAAGGATCTTCGTGGGACAGATTTTCCATTTGCAAGATTCACGTGGGACTTTTTTTCTTTTAAAGATGTTGGCACATTGTCAAAAGCTTTTACCAGTTTAAAGCTAGAACTGCCTTTCTGAGATGTAATTCCCAGGACAGCTCCGCAGTAGCCTTATATGCCTGGTGACACTCTATCTTTTTATATGGACTGGACAGAACCTTCCCGTCCCATCTTGTATTTAAAAGTGATTTGTTCACTTAGGGCTCCTATCGCCCATCTGTACCAGTGTAAAATGCCTATGCAAAAAAACCTGATTGAAAACCCAGGGGCTTCAATCTTAATCTTCACATGTTAGGAGTGACGGGAGTGGATCACAAGGGTGAGCAATAACAAATCACACCAAATAGCCATATCACCACGTTCCAAGCCCCAGCCCCACTCCACTCCTGTGGCCAGTGGCCGAAACAGGAAGAAAAAAAAAGATAAGGTCAGAAGATCAGGGAACTAAAGTACTAAGTGATTTCACCAGCAAGATGTACGGACTGCTTGTATTTACAGTTTTTAATGGACCTAGGGGGATGATCTATTTTAAAAATGTAAACCAGTTTGCCTCTAATTTTTTAATCTGGCAAGGTGAGCGTTTTAAGTGAAATAAACTTCTTTATAAAGTTTGATGTTTTTCTTCCTCAGTCAGTGTCTTAAGTCACTTTTCTTGTCCCTGGGACACCTGTAGCTAAAAGGCTCAGTGTAGCTCATGTTTCAGTGGTAATCAGCTGGCTTCAAGGCCACATGGGAAGGCACAGGAGCATGGTGGGGGAACAGCTGCTCACCTCACGGCCCACAGGAAGCCGTCCTGGGAGGAACCGGAAGTGAGGGAGAAGGGGGGAGGAGGAGGAACCGGAAGGGAGGTACACTTCTGGATTGCACCAGTGACCCACCTCTTCCAATCAGACCCCATTTTCTAGCAGCAGGTCAGCTAACTGCCCCCATGATCCATCACCTTTTAAAAGCCCTGCCTTTGCACACAGGCTTTGCGGGGTACATCCAGGTATCAACTGTAACATCTAATAAGCCATAACTGAGTAGCACTGTAACCAGTGGGCTCACCTGTTATGGTACCATGAGCTCTTTCTTTGCGAGTGGGACTCTGCCTGAGGTAACGTCCCAAGCTCAGTTATCACTATAGTGTTGCACTAACAGCTTGGATGGTACTTGAGATATGACTCCTTTGGGACTGTAAAAGTAGGCTCAGCACCAAACAGAACTAAAAGCTCACTTGTCCCAAGGGACACTGAAGTTTTGATTGTGTTTTAAATTTGACTGCTTTGTCACTTAGACATGGAAGTTTGTGTTGGCTAACTGTATATTTTGACATAGCTGATGTCTAGTGTGTTGCACGGACAGCCAGGGAAGCCTGTTTCTCTACTAGTTCTAGGCTCAACACTTCTACCTTCCCTTCATCAAGTTCATCCTTTAGTTCATCTGCAAATGACTTTGGCAGCTATAAACTTTACACATAGGAGCACATCCAGCAGACCAGGGTAACCTCAGATCTGCTCATTCTCAGGAAACAGGTGGTGTAAATAATTACCCATATAATCCAGGTAGATCAGTATATTTATTTATGCATTTAACAAGTTTACACACATGCCATAACTCCAATGCAATAAAGAGCCTTTAACATTCAGAAAAAGTTCCAAGACATCAGGTCACTTGTGTATCCCACGCAATTCCCGAGACAGAGGTAGAGCATGTGTTCCTGTTTTATAGTGGTTAAGGAGGACCAGAGACCCAGTCAGGCTTAACCAGGACAATCACCAATGACAGCATCGCTAAGGGATGCACAGAAAAAAAAAAAAAAAATTACCATACAGAGATCTTTAATATTTAAAAGAATCACATATTCATTCCAACACCTTTTCCAGGTTTGACCACCCAATAAGTTACACTCACACTCAAGTACTTAAAGGTTGCTATGCAGTGCCTTAGCTGACTGAGTCAGAGGGAAGCGGTCACTTTCCCGACAACCAGACTCCGAATTCTCACAAGGACACCCTGCCGGCCACAGGCTGTTCACACGGCTGCCGCTGAGTCTTGTCTCTGCATGATGAACCTGGTCAAAGCAGCATGATTCTTGAGGCACTTCTGCAGAGTGTCACGTTTACTGCAGGGGAGCTTCCTGAACAGGAAGGCCAAGGCGCTGCAGGCTCAGGGAGGAAAAAGCAACACTTCCTGTAGCGCTGTGAGCTGAGCGGGCAGTCAGCAGTGACTAAGTCTGGAGCATGTTCCCGAGCTCGCACAGCAGCCCTGATTCAAAGGTTTCTCCCCCTGCGTGATTAAGACGATTTGCTAGTTGCTTCTTTGCTTTGCTGGCAACTTGATGGCTTGGTCGAATTTGTTGTGATCCAGGGGTGTTCAAGTACTTCACTCAGAGTCGGTCTCTGGCTTGGATTATGCTTTAGCAACCTTGAAATGAAGTCCCGGGCTCCCTCAGTCACAAAGTCAGGGAACGTATATTCAACCTGCAGTACAAGTGACAAAATGGCACAGAACACAAGTAAGAGAGACCAAATTGTATAACTATCCACACCTTTGGGCCAGGGATATAGCTCAGCGGCACAAGTGCCTGCCTGGCAAGCACAAGGTCCTGAGTTCGATTCCTGGTACCAAAAAAAAAAATTCACACCTTCGCTTAACCTTCACCCGATAATGTTGCAGAACTCTGGATCAGACCAGAGGGATGGCACGGCACCGGGGAACTTTGGAAGGCAAACAGCTTTATTACACTAGCGGGCTAGGGGACATGGAGGTCCAAATCACCAGCCCTGTCTTAAGAGTCAAAGTTACTTATATAGGTTTTTAAGAGCAAGTACAAAAGGCAGGTAACAGGAAATTCCACAGTTGGTTACACATGTCTTGTCATACTTTGCTAGGCAGAATTTAGCCTATGTAAGCTAATTGGGGTTATATATATACTATCGTATAACAAGGAGGTCCAGGTTATGGTGGGCAGAAGAATAAATCATTCTCTAAGACTGAGCCAAGCTGTCCTTGAGGTGCTAAGTCTCTGAAAAACTTGAAAGTAAGCACAGCATAACAGGATGCACCCCGGGCTGAGCCACGCTTACCTTGCAGCTGGCACTGGAATGCTACGGCTCGGTACGTTTTGTAACCTAACTGTGGGAGCAGGCCGCACTTCCCAGTTCCGTCACATTCCTCTACAGTAAGTGTAGAATTCTAAGAGCACAGCTGGACCCTTTGCAGCTTCGTCTTACCCGTGAGATCCTTTTATAGGTCTCTTGGTGAGTGTGCGCCTCAAAAGGAGGGTTCCCGACCAAAAACTCATAGCAAAGGACTCCCAGGCTCCAGAGGTCCACCTTCTCGTCATGCATCCGGCCTTCAATCATCTCAGGGGGCAGGTAGTCCAAGGTGCCGCACAGAGTGGTCCTCCTAGAAAGGGAGGCTCAGGTTGACGTGAGCTGCTTTCATCGTGACAGCTGCCAAGTCATTCATCACGCTGCTAACAAGGGACTGAGTGTTCCCCGGCCAGATCCCGTGCGGTGAAGCAGGTACTGTGTAAATCCCCATTTTTAGATAGGAAGCAGACTAAAGGAAATGTGTCAGATCACACAGCTAGCAACCGGGCCTCACTCCAAGTCTGTTCAACCCCAGAACCTCCTTGAACAATCTAGAAGAAACTGCAATCATTCTGATAGAAAAGCTGCCATGCAAAGTTCTCTATAAATACAATCTGAAGTTCTGTGGTGTCTTGGTTACTTTTCTCTCATTGCTGGGACAAAATACCTGATGCCCAAAATTAAGGAAGGAAAGGTTTATTTCGCTTACAGCTTGTGGAGGTTTCAGTCCATACTTGGCAGGTTACAAGGCAGAGTGGCACACGGCAGAGGGCTACAGCTCATGGTGGCAGATCACAGCAAAAGCAACAAGCACACACGAGGGTGGAATGGCACAGAAGCAGCCTCTTCCTCTCCCTTACATATGCAAACTATCCACCCCAGGGCGGGTGCAGCTCTCACACCTACAATCACTCAAACTCTAAAAGCCTGCCCCAAGACCACATGAGGCTTTGGGGGGATACCCAGACACAAACCATAACATGTGGTAACACCAAGTGACACCACAGTCAGAAAAATACACCTGAAGACATAAAAACTAGTTTAGACTAAGACCAAAGAGAAACTGATGCAATGCCAATGCATGGACCTCGCCTGGGGTTTAAAAGCAACTGTGAAATTTCAAGGCCAGCGGGAAATTTGAAGAGGAACGAAGCATTAGATATTAACAAAGCTGTCAGCTTTCATAGGAAGGTAGAATGTCCTTGTTTTCAGGATATGTATATTGTAGTGCTTAAGGATAAAGCACCATGATAACAAAAGCCTTGAAGCCAGGAAGTTAGGCAGGTAGGGCACAGGTCCTAAATAGTTAACCTAAACTAAACATTGGGGCTTAATAACGGGTTAACTTAAGGTAGGGGCCAAATAACTGACTTAAGCAAACTGACTACCAGGGCCTAATGGAATGCAAGGGACAAAGACCAGATCCTTAAATGGAAGACTTTGGAGGAAGTGAAATGCAAATGAAGCAGCTAGCTCACTTTCCAGACATCAAAGGCCTCCCTCACCCAGGAGCATCCCCGCCTTCTGTCATGTTCACCTGCACCAAAACTGTGTAAGAAGCCTACACCTACCTCTAGAGTGTCCGCCTCACGGAACCCCTCCCCGACAAGCAGGAGGTTTTCCTCCTCTTCTTTCTATTAAACATACACAGTTATTCCCCACCATTTGCTTGCTCTGTGCTGTCTGTCAGCTTCAAACTTCGTCGCCCCAAAACAAGGACCAGATCACAGCACAGGAGGGAGCTGGATACAGCATCAAACAATACGCTTATTTTCAAATGTTCACAAAAAAGCAGATGCAGACAGTGTAGCCAAGGGTGAAGAACTGTTGAGCGCGGCCGCTGCAGAGACTGAGGTGCTCCCACCAACGACCGGCTCAGCACTTCAAGGGCTGGAAATAAGCTGAGGGTGGCACGCAACCAGCCAGGAGCAGCCCTGGAGCTCACTGCTGCTCTACCCGGCTGATGCCAAGACCTTCTGAGCCCCACTCAACCATGCCCAGTGCCCCATGGGCACACGCGTCATTCAGTGAAACATGACCCACGATTAAATGACCTCTCCTGACTAGATCTAACCTCTCATCCACTCAGACCAAATCAAGGGGTTCTCAAGCAGGGAAACTACTAAGGTTATTAACATTCAAGGGTCAAGTGGCCACAAACATAAAAAAATGTGAGGACGCCGCTAGACCCCTAGAAAGATCAATGTCTACTTTAACCTTGCAGCCCCATGAAGCCCACGATTTTCCGTTGTCTTAGTAGGTCTCAGCAGCTCCCACTGATGGCAATCAGCAAAATAAAGACTGCTTTGCTGAAAACAAACAAAAATGATCTGCAACAAAAATCAAAGAGTGTGGTGGCGCACACCTGTAATCCCAGCACTCGGGAGCCTGAGGCAGGAGGATTGTTGTGAATTCGAGACCAGCCTGGGCTACAAAGTAAGCTCAAGCGTTGGTGATATAGTGGTGAGCATAGCTGCCTTCCAAGTGAGCTCAAGGCCAGCCTGAACTGCATAGTGAGACCCTGTCTCAAAAAGACAAAAAAAAAAAATCGAATGTATATATATTTTTAATTTTTTTGTTTTTCTCCTAACTGGCTTTATTTTTAAAAAATTCTTCCGGTGATAATTTCTCAGCCCCTCAAAGTTGACAAATCCTAATCAGATATATGCTTTAAATGCCCCACTCACATGGAGTGTTAAAGTTTATTTAAACCCAAATTAAATAGAAAACTGTAGAGAATATCTTAGCTCCTATTTGGAAAGAGTAAATTTCACTATGTTGACGTCTCTGCTGCAGCTGCAAGGGAGGTGTGTGGTGGGGCCGGGGGATGACACAAGAAAGGACTATTCCTACTCTTGACAAGAGTAGATCAGATTCTCTAACCACCTCTCTCAAGCTCCATCCAAACCAATGTGGTTTTTCAAAGTTTCCAAAAGAATTACACTCTTGACTGTGGGTTTTTGTACTGCTATTCTCTGGATCTTTTCCCACCGTCTTATCCACACTAAGACCAGTCTCCAACCCACCACCAAAGCAGGAGTTCTTCCCCCTGCAATCTGTATTTTAACTGTCACATATTCATCCTATGTTGATTTTGTATGCACTTCATTAACCTCTAAGAATATTAAGCATCTTTAACCCTGGGCCTAGAATACCATACATAGCCTGAAGTACTCACAAAATAAAATTTTGATATTAGTCTATTATCAGGCCTAAAATATTCCAAAGTATTTCTAGGTACGTCACCTGCCAGTATGTAATCTACTCTTGAATTTTTACATTTACTTCATGATTAGAGCTTGGGTTTTCTGTACAACTTCCACCTCTAAAGTTACGCACCTGGAGGATGGAGCGTGGACCGACCACCCAAAATCTGCAATCTTCAACTCTCCAGCTGATCCCAGCAGCAGGTTCTCCGGTTTAATATCTCTATGAATAACTCTCTTGGAATGACAGTAAGACAGGGCATTTGCCAATTCTGTGATATACTGTTGAAAAAACATTGAAAGCCTGGGTTTTAGATTTATATACCATAATATTAGACATCTCTTCTGAAACAAAATCCAACACAAACTTTAACATGTTTTGCAGGTTTTAAAGCAAACCATGTAGAAATATGGGTAAGTCTACAAAAATCAACTGAACCAATTTATAGTGGTTACTAAAAGCTTCGAATAGGACCTGACTCCCCCAGCCCCCAACCCGTTTGCCAGCAGAAGCACTACTGTCTGCTGAGAACTCAGCTGTCTGCAGGGAACTTAGCTCAGCACCGAAATTGTCATCAGCAAGCATAGGATGTCATGAAGGAGATAGGAGAGCACAAGGAATTTTGCAGGTGCCAGGATATCTGATGATACCTGAAGACACCCGAAAATTCATACAACACTTCAAGCACTTTGCCCACTGAGGTGCAAGACTGCCAGACAACGTTAACCAGATGTTATTAAAATCTTCCCACCTAATGTCCCCTGCCTTATTTCCACTCCCATAAAAGGGACACACTTCTTTTTGCTCAGGGCAGATGATCTTATCATTCTCTGCCTGCCTGCACCCAGGCACAATAAATTCCATGCCATGTTGCCTTTACACAAGCCTGGTGGTCTCTGCTGGTCTCCCACCATCCCAGTATGTTACAGTTACCATCATGTTATTCACAACTTGGTTATGTCTTTCCTAATACAATAATATCTCTGTTTACTGCAAACAATTCAATTTGCAAACAAAAGCATTTGGCAAAATTTTGCTCTGTTTGCAAACTCTGCAAACTAAACTGAGTGACAAACATGACCAGGGCCATCTTCCCCACACAAGATACAGCCATCTTCCTCAAAATCATAACACACATTAGGTTCATAAACTGAGGTTCCACTGCACATCTGATGTGATATTGAATGACTAGAAAAACACTGAACAAGCTGTAATTATATCCGCACATGGCAATTTATGGCCCAGCACCAACAAATAATAAAGAACTGGTACAAATAGGGATTCAGATGTGTAAACATTTTTAAAGTTCTGTTTTAAAACCTTGTAAGTGTAGTCGGTTTCTATTTTTAAAGATCATCCTACAACAAAATAATATATTTGGAGATAAAAATTTACTTCAAGACTATCAGGGGAAAAATTAGCCTATACTACAAACAGAAACCAGAAATCCACTGGCATGTTAATAGTGCTATGGATGGATGCCTCCTCCTAAAGCACATGCTGGAGACTTAACCACAAAGCAACCACACACCAATGATGTGGGCTGCACCCTCACACGGTGATTAGTGCTGATTATAACAGCCTGAGCTCCAATTCTTGCTCTCCTGCCCTTCTGCCTTCTGCCATGGGGTGATGTAAAAAGGCCTTCATCACACACAGCCCCTAAACTTTGGATTTCACAGCCCCCAGAATCAGAAGAAATAAACCTATTCTGTACAAATTACCCAGCCTCCTTTTTCTCTTGCTATAATACAATGCCTAAGGTAAATAGCTCATTATGTTTTGGGTCTGGAACAGTGATCGCAAACCTTTTAGAGCTTTCAGTGATGCAGCATGTGTGCTACAGGTTCGCCACCACTGGACTAAGAGATTAAAAATGGCATACTAGGGACCAGCCATAAAATACAGCTTCTCGGGGACTTGGCATTGAGACACCTGGAAAACAGCTTGGTGAAGAGAAAAAAGTAGATTTCTAGGAACTGGAAGAGAGCTGACAAGAAAACCAGAAACTACAAAGAAGCTAGAGAAAGAGCACAATGCAGAGAAAAAGGATAACACAGTCCAGAAGATTCACCCCTGGTCCAGGGGAGGGAGATGTGTCTCTCAACACAAGGTAAGCCCAGAGAGATTTAGCAGTTCCAGTAAGGGACCAGACTGATGGAGACCACTGCGAAGCAGCTCTGAGCAGGACTTAAATTCACCAACTGGCTTTCCATGTTTATTTGTGAGTCTGTCCAAGGCCTAGGCTCCTTGCCTGGCCATGGGTGGTGGACTTATAGTAAGTGAACCTCTGTGAGTCACTGATCTCTAGTGAGGCCTACAATGGCAGGTGAAGCCTTAAAGCCTCAAAGGATAAGATCAGGTCACAGCCAAGGACACCTGGCTCCAATCTCAACTAGATAAAGACTGCAGCCTCAGGCATCTCACTCCAGGGTGCATTAACTTAATACCTTACTTGGATAACTCCTTGAGCAGTTCCCAACCTTCTTCTCTCCCTTCTTCTCATAACTAAATAAATGCAGGCCACTTAGAGAAAGTCTTGGTCTTAGCCCCAAGAGAATCTTGAATTCTAAGAGAGGGTTTTGATCCTCCTGGAGCCCTGAAATCATTCCATTTGCCTCTTTCATTTAGCCTTCACCATACACTCATTTGGAAGATTTTAGACCTAATCAGTCTGCAATAACTAAGGGATATTATTAACCCAATACTGGGCCAGCACTGCTGTAGTAGTTACAGCTCATGAAAAAGTGTTTATAGTACTTAGAAGGTGTTAATAGCTCCTAGAAGGTGTTCACAGCTCCCAATAACCACTACAACAGGCCAAGGCCAACACACTGAGCAGAACCTGGGGTTCTGGAGGCAGGAAGGTGTACAGCTTTATTCACACTGGCGGGCTTGGCTGGGATCCTTCACAAAGAGCCAAGCCCCTAACTCTCAGAGTGCAGGATTTTTATAGGATTTACAGTCAAGTAGGAGGGACAAGAACAGTGCATTTGCCATTAGTGATTGTCAGAAAGTTACACTGCATTTCACCTTCTTAGCATGTAACTAAGATAAATTACAGGTTACATGATTGGGCAAGAAAGTCATACTGAATTCCACCTGCTTAGCATACAGTGGAGACAGGGACAAGAGGTTACATCAGTTGGGGGTAAAAACACAAACTTAATAGAGAACAAAAGGCTTAGTAAAGGCCGGGACGAGGGATGCTGAAGGTGGGTCGGGAGGCTCCTGTCTGGGAGCAAGTGTTTGTTTCTGCCTCAGTGCCCTGAACCCCAAGAAGAGTCCATGCTTATTGTAAACATCAAAAGCAACATGAGGTTTTACTCTTAAATTGACTCCTTCCACAAGGCAGGCTAGAGATGGAGAAGAAATACAATACAGTGCCTGCCATATTTGAGAGAAGTTAATCAGGAGATATTTTGGGAAGGGGTACGACGGCCACAAAACAACTTCAAAACAACCATACTTCAGGGTTCCCAGTGTCACCTACCACAGTGACTGGGTAAGAGATAGCCACAAAAGACAGTCACAGAGAGGGCACAGGCTAGACACTGGCTCCCACAGAAGTTTAAGATTAGGCCAAAAAGGTCACAGAAGTCCCGCTCCCTGGTGAGAAGCCAGCTGACCTTGTCTGGCTTTCAGAGGCGGCTGGTCTGGGAGTGCTGGCAGTAAGTCCAGAGGTCTGCATGAAGCCCCACTCCACTGTCTACAACCTACACAGAACTCAGTGTCTCTGCTTTCCCCAACTACCAACACGAGGAAGGACGCACCTCAGCTTGGCGGTAGTCACAGCATGATGTGAACCGACACAGGGGCCTCCGGAGCAGAATGGGAGGCGGCTCTCAGAACCACAGGCCACACAGCTGGGTGGCGAAGGCTGTGGAGCAGGGGGCGGGGCATGGGAAGTGGGGATTGCCAAAGTAACTACAGCCATAGGGCAGATACCTCTGACAGACCACACCCAGCGGGAAGGATTCACGATTCACACACAAACACGAGTGTGGAAACAAAGTAATCTTAGCAGGGACGCACTATCTCTTCCCTGTAACTGGTAGATTCCAAGGCCAGGTCCTCAAAAGAAACCACGCACTCAAAAACATTTTTTTCCTGTATTTATTTCTTTTCCTGTATTTATTTCTTTCCTGTGTTTTCTTTCACTGGTTTTTTGGAAGTTGGGTTTTTTTCTTTTAATATTTTTCTTTCTTCTTTGTGTTTTTCTTTTTTATTCTTTTGCTCATTTTTCTTTTTCTTATTTGTTCTTTTCTGTTACTTTTATCTAATTCTATTAATTTTATTTTACTCCTTTAATAGGATCCTTTATCTCACTTTTCTTGCCTCCTCCTCATCCTTTTTTTCAAATTTTACTCCTTTTATTTTCTCATTCCCCACTCCCTCTACCTTTCCTGGTATAACCATTAAGTTCTATTAATCTTTAGATAGACAGTAACTCAATCCTATTATTATTGTATTCTTTTCTATGGTTAATGATGATATAGTTTGTTGCATTTAGTAGGTGTTCACTGTATGTCAATTATTTGATTTGTCTTTGTGCTACGTCAATTATACTGTATCCTCCCCACCAAATTAACCGAGGTGGTTTTATACTCAGACCAGAGGCAAAAGCCTACAGTTAGCCTCGCCCAGGGTGCATCCCTGAAAAGCACATACTAACTAAAGAGGTCTCCATACTATTATGAAAGCCTTTCCACTGTAATGAACCCACAAATGTCAGCGCCTGCATGTGTGCACGTGTACACACACACACTATACAAAACATGAGAAGATGAAGCAAAATGATACCTCCAGAAACTCCCAACTCCCCCCAAAACTGATCTATAGGACATTGCTGGAGAGGACATAAATATCCAAACAACTGAATTATAGAAGAAAAACAGATCGATAATGTGCTCAACAAGCTCAAAGAAGATACAACTAGACAGATAATACACCTAATAAACAAAACTAGCGGAGCTAAACAAAACAATACTAAACACGAAAAACCAGTTTAGTAGAGAAGTAGAGACCATGGAAAGGTACCAAGCAGAAACCAGGAGATTAAAAATTCCACTGAAAGTATGGGCAAAGGAAACAACTAATGTGAGATTGTCAGAACTAGAAGACAGGACTGATGTTAGGAACCATACTCTTTGATACATTAGTAGATGATGCAAAGAACACCAACACCATACAAGATTAATAGGAATTCATGAAAAATCTGAAGACCGCAAATGGCATTAAAAAAGAAAACCTGTTTACAGAAATAGCAGAAACTTCCAAGAATAAGAATTTAACACAGAGATAAGTAATGTATAAAGAACCCCAGGGCCGGGGATTTAGCTCAGTGGTACAAGCGCCTGCCTGGCAAGTGCAAGGTCCTGAGTTCAATTCCCAGCACTAAATAAATAAACAAACAAACAAACAAACAAACAATGACACGATGGGTAGGGGCTGGGGATTCAGCTCAGCAGCACAACACCTACCTGGCAAGTGCAAGGTCATGAGTTTGATTCCCAGTACCGGGAAAAAAAAAAAAACCAAATAGGAGTTAGGGATATAGCTCAGCGGTATAAGTGCTTGACTAGAAAGCATGAGGTCATGAGTTCAATTCCTGCTACCAAAAAAAAAGGAAAGAACCCCAAATAGCAAAAATCAGAAAAAAACTTCTCCACAACACATTTAGTGAAAATCCCAGAAGTCCACCACAAGAACAGAATTTTAAAAGCTGTTAGAGAAAACTAATAAATTACTTACTCAGGTAGACACTTTAGAATTATAGCAGACTTCTCAACCCAAACTCTAAAAACTAAGAGTTTGGAATGAAGTGGGTTAAAAAGAAAACAGCTTCCAACCCAGACTAATATCCTGAAAAAGTATCTCTCGAACCTGATGGAGAAATAGTCTTTCCATGACAAAGAGCACCTTAAAATTCATGACCACCAAACCAGCACTCCAAAGAAACTTCTCCAAGGTATGGTAAAAAGAGACAATAATGCCATGACAGGAATAAGTAATACCTTCCAGTAATAAATATCAATGTGAATGGTCTCAACTTCCCAATCATAAGATAGACTGGCAGACTGGCTCAAAAAAACCCAAAATACAACAAACAGTATGCTACAAAAAAGAAACACATTTAATCAAAAAAGAAACTCAAACTAAAAATCAAAAGATAAACAATATTCCATGCAATGGAAGCCCAAAAGCAAGCAGGAGTAGCTATCCTAATTTCAGACAAAGTGGATTTCAAGCCAAAACTAACCAGAAGAGGCAAAGATGGTCATTACATATTGGTTAAGAGAAGAATTCAATGGGGAAAGACAACAATTATAAACATATATGCATCAAATACTGGTGCATCCAACTTCATAAAACAAACACTAGTGGACATAAAAGATCAGCTAAACATCAACACAATTATAGTGAGGGACACTTCAGTACTCCACAGTGACAAACAGATGGATGAGACACAAAACTCAACAAAGAAATACCAGAAAGGAACCACAGCTTCAAACAAATGGACTTCATTAAGTATCTACAGTGTGTTCCACCCAGCAACAGAATTACACTTTCTTCTCGGCAGCACATGTAACTTTCCCCAAAGCAACACCACATACAAGCCCATAAAGCATGCTTAAATAAATGCAAAAGAATCAAAATTATCCCAAACACGTAGAAATCTACGGCAAGAGAAATCACAGAAATTATGCAAACACGTAGAAACTAAACAACATATTTTTGGATAATCAACAGATCACAGAAGAAATCAAATAAGGAATTAGTCCCTAGAATCAAATGACTATGCCAGCACAACATGTATTTAAACATGTACTAATAAAATTTAAAAACAAAAACAAACAGCTGGGGAAACAACTCAGTGTGAAGACCCTGAGTTCAATCCCCAGTACCACACACACACCCCCACCCGACACATAGACACAAAATAGGAGAAATTAGGTATGGCGTATGTAGAAAATCTCTGTACTACCTTAATGATTTCTATAAATCTAAAACTATTCTAAAATAAATGAGCATTAAAAAATAAAGAGGACCACTGTCTACATTTCCACAGAAATGACTGAAAACAAAACAGCCAAAACAGTCTACCTGGTGGTACCTGATTTAATCTGTGCATCTGGTACATCTGAGATAGTCTAATTCTTCCATTTCGAATATTTGATCCTGTGAAGCCATCTTTCCATTAAGTCAGAATCAGCCTGGGCTACACAAGCAAGTTCAAGCCTAGCCTACACTACCTAGCAAGACCCTGTCTCAAAAATAAATAAATTAATAAACAACAATGGATAGGCATAAAGAAAACAGACTTAGGCTGAACAATAAAGGAAAACTTACAGTAGCAGTTCTCTGCTCATCAAACTTGGAAAGTTTCTGAAGTTCTCTATAGACTGTTCCAAGTGGTGCATATTCCAGAATTAGATAAACTCTTGTGGCATCATGGAAATAACCATACAGCCTGAGAATATTGGGATGCCTGCAACAAAGCATGAAGACAGTAACACTTAGCTCTGGAGCCGATACTGGGTTATTTACAAAATATAAAACAAACCCCCCATGTAAATAAAACCACTGGCGTTTGACACGAACCCATGTAAGAATCTGAAACCACAGGCCCACCCTAAGGAAAATACACATCAGCATATAATTTTGCAAACATTTTAGAATCAATGGACCTCAGGTTAAGACTATTCTTGCCTTCTGTAGGCATCTTTACACTTGGGAGGAGAAACTCAGCTAAATATTAATTTCTGCATATTAAAGAAGGACCAAGCGTTCACACAGTCGTGTGATATGCACACAGCATGCCAGGTGGAATGGTGCACACCTCTGATCTCACACTCTGAAAGGCTGAGGCAGGATGCTCACCAAGCTTGAGCCTGGTTTGGGAAACACTGTGACTGAACAAACCTGATCTCAAAATAAATCTCAAAAAGGGCTAAGGATGCAGCTCAGTCAATGTGAAGGCCCGGGGTTCAGTGCCCAGCAGCCCCTCTAAAAGAAACCAGCGTGGTGGCAGCAGGAGACAGAGGCTGTGCGGTGCAGAAGTACAGCACGCTGGCAGTGCCAGTCCTCGCCCACCAGCTCACCTGCAGCTGATGTGGGTGAAATATAGGCCTTCTGGGGTTTTTTTGGTTGTTGTTCTTCTTGAGACAGGGTCTCATTATACAGTTCAGGCTGGTCTTGAACTCACTTTGTAGTCCAGGCTGGCCTCAAACTGCCAATGATTCTCCTACCTCAGCCTTCCAAGTGCTGGGATTACAGGTACGTGTGCCGCACCATACCTTGCTTGGTTTTAAATATTAGCATCTGGTTCAAATTTGAAAACCCTAACAGCAAATATGAAAAACAAAAGCCCCACTACTGACCCAAGTCAGCCTGCGGGCTGCCACGTGCAATTTCTGGTTCCCAAAGAATAAAGGGCCACAGAATAAAAGGCACCATTCTCATTCATTTGTCTCTCTCTCTCTCTCACGCATGTCCACAGACATACACACACACGCACACGTGAAATGCTCAGGTGAACTACTGCATTAGTACAAAAATAAATCCTGCAATAGTTTTTCAGGACCACAGCTCCAGATAAACTCTTAGCAAGTGACAAGGTCAACCACTCTTCACGATACTAGGAAGCAAGCACTCTAAAAAGCAGTTCTCACTCTCAGCTCTTACGGACTGCACGGTGCTGTGGGCACTCACCGAAGGTGGGACTGGATTTCTACTTCTCTTCGGAGCTGATGCTCCACTCCTGCTTTCTCCAGCTGAGCTTTAAACAACACTTTCAGAGCCAGGATAAACTTGCTTTGTTTTTCTCTTGCCAAATAAACATTGCCAAACTTCCCTTTACCTAGTGGGCGACCGATATCAAAATCTTCCAAAGTCCACTGTCTCCTAGAATAATTTCAACATTTTTAAGAGTGAAGGAGAAGAAAAATCTTTGCAGTGAGAATGTCCCACAGCTCAGGAGTGCAGACCTATGCACAGTCCTTAAGAAAGACCATAAAAAGGAGAAGCAACTGGAGAGGAAGAACACCTGGGGACCACGAATGGGCCTCTTTGGAAGCAGGGACCTCCCCCCGCTCCGGAGAACCACACGTCTCCAGGGGGAGAGCTGCCCCGGTGGTGCAGAGGGAACCACTGTCACAGACAGATGCAGGAAAGTCCTCACTGGCATCAGAACCAGAAGAAGGAGACTCTGAGAAAGCTCGTTGTGAGCTACAGCAGCCAAGGCTCTGGGGCATCCTGGCCCTGCTCCTCACGTGAGAGTCCAATTCAGAGAGAAAGAGCGGGCATTTGGAAAATGGGGAAGATATCATGGCTAACCTTTATTATACAGAACAAATTATTAGTACAGTATGACTTTTTTTCCTTCTCTTTTGAGACAGACTGTAGTTCAGGGTGCTCTGGAGCTTATTACGTAGCCCAGGACATTAAAAACAAAACAAAACAAAAAAAAAACTTGTACTTTTAGCCAGGTGTGATGGTGTGCACCTGTAGTCCCAGCTAATGAGGAGGCTGAGGCAGGAGGACGGCTTGAGCCCAGGAGTTCAAGGCAAACCTACACAACCTAGTACAGTGGTGGCGAGAACCTATGGCACGCGTGCACAGTCAGCTGTTTGTTACCATGGAAAGTTCTAAAAGGTTCGCCATCACTGACCCAGTGAGCTCCCAGCTCAAACAAAAATTTGCATGTGTACTTCTGTGCAAGGAAAAACAAGAACTGAAGCACATATCAACCACACATACACATTTCTAAGGGCATGGAGGAACCTCATGCATTTTCTGTAAGAAATTATTAAAGAGTTCCCATAACTAAATTTGCAACAAAATGGCATAGGTCCAGCAGAATAATATAGAACATTATAAATAAATAAGAAAGCTTACTTTTTTGAGTCTTCATTTTTCGGTTTTGATTCCATTTTCTTCTCAGGATTATCTCCTATACATAATAAGTTAAAATCCTGCTTTTAGAACCACTATATAGCCTAAGTTTTAAAATCTGGCTAGAGATCAAATAATGGTCTCCAAGATATTATGTTTTACTTGTGGGAAAAAAGATAACAAAACCCTAACCTGACGCTCAACATATAGAGTCTTTGCAGAATTACTAGAATAAAGTACAAATGTACACAGTTAGGTCTTCCACCAATAATTTAAGACTGAGACTAGGTAGAGATTTCCTGAAGCCTCAGTTTCCAAATAAAGAGCTTCTAGGACAGAACGACCAACTTCCCACCCATACCAAGCGGCTACCCTTGGTACCCTCGCTACCTCTCCCTGACTTCACGTGCCAGCCATACAAATCACAGTATGCAACCAAACAAGCCGGCCGCCCTCTTTCCAGGGGGAAATACTAAAACCACTCCAAACAAACAAAAAAAGAGAAACTACACAATCAGAAAAATGTACCATCAAGTTTCTCAGCAGGGGACTGGAATTACTATCTCATCAGCTGCAGACACATGAGGTGTTTCCACTTGTCTGTCTCCCATACCTCGAACCCCACTAGCACAGTTCGCTCTGCTCAGGCCTTGGACTGCAGGCCCAAACTGTTTTTCCTCCTCACGGTTCAGTAGCCCCACTAATATCATCAGCATAACCACGGCAGGAGCTCAGGACACACCTCCCTCGAAAACAGGACTGCGGAAGATCACGGTGTGCCTCCTAACGCATTTCTTTGGCATTTAAGCTGGTCATCTAGAGAAACCGCAGGTGCAGGGGGAGCTCTGAGAAGCTGTCCTTTTGGAAAAGTAACAGCTAGAGGAAACTGTCACTAGGACAGCAGCACTATCGGGAAGAGGCTGCTGAGGGACGAAGTCTATCTCCTGAGACAAGGTCTATGTGCCTGCAGCACTGCCTTGCGCCCCCGCACAGTAACTCCCGGCGCTGGGTGGCTTCTCGGCGCCTTTCCCCGCCCCTTCGCACCAGAGGCCCAGATTCCTATTCCTTTCAGGTCAGGATGCCGTAACTTCAACCCCCCGCCCTGTTCTGAGTCTCACATTTTGCATACACACAGAATTAGCTGTCTCCTTCAGGTTACTTTATAGATCCACCATGAAACCTTCAGAGGGCAGAGGAAGTTCTCTTCCTTCCCTACAGCACCATCCCGAACTCCCCGTCCTCCTCTTTCAGGTCTAGCTCAGCCACATCGCTCTCCTGAACACGCGTCCTGAGTGAGCGCTCACATTCATCTGCACCTTTCCATCCTGGTCACGTCTTAGGACAAGTTAACTGCCCTTACTCTCAGATCGCTCCTCTGGGCAACTGAGTTGACAGTGCTAGTACCTTCATCCCGGGGGTGAGGACGGAGACAAAGGAATGTCTCAGAATCTGCGGTAAGCACTGACAGCTGCTAAGTACTAAGCATTAACATCCCCCTGCTTCTGCGCCACCCAGCCAGGTCACTGCCACCTCTGACCTTAACCTTCTTCCTATCTAGTCACCCCCGGATCCAGCACTGCTACTCTCCAGTTCATTCAACTCATCCCCAGTAAGATTCCGAAAAGCCTAATCAGTCCCTTTCAGCCCAGAAAACCTTCTGTAACTTCCCAGCACACCAGAGATGGAGGCTTACTTAAAACAGCCAGCAGTGTCCATGGCGACCAGGGGGTGGGGGCTCGCTCCTCGGCTTTCCCCAGATTCGCCAAAACTCCAGGACTGTTCAGCTCCTCACTCACCTGCTACAAACACCCTACACCTGACCCACTTATAAGTTATCAAAAGGATGTGGGTTTGATCCCATGTCCTCCCTGTATGCCCAACTCTTCAAAGAGGGTGGAAATGAGGTCTGTTATTTTTAGAAGGCCTAGCCCCATAACACTGCTACTTCAACATGGATATCTATTTTCTTCTCCTCCTCAACAGATGGGCCATAAAAGCTAGGGCTCTGAACAAGAAGTGCAAGCCCACATGCTTGCTTCCTTAGCAACAACTCGCTAGAACAACAGCACACAGAATCGCAAAGAGCTGGCTCACCGGGCGCTGCTGGCTGGGCTTGCTCACTCTTCTGGGCGCTGCTCACCGGCCGGGGGGCAGGACGAGGCGCGCTGGCGGCCTGCAGTTGCTTCTGTACTTTCTGACCACAGACGAGCTGTGCTTGCGAAGGAACCCGCTGGGAGGAATTCGAAGGACACAAGACCCGCTGAGCCTGGCCACTGCCTCTGGATGAGGGGTTCTGAGAAGGAAAGTGCTGCATCCCCAAGACACATTTCGGGCCATCACCCAGAGCAACAGGGGCCTAGGAAGGGAGGGAAAATCCGCTTTATGATCGGCATGAGTGAAAGATGAGTGTTTTAGAGCTCAACAAAGTTTGTTTTCCAGTGAACACCACTTATAAAAGTGGGAAAGCTATTTTATAAGAGTTCCCAGATGCTACATGTACCATACGGCTGAAAAGAATGTTTAAATGCCTCCAATTCGCCCCCGCCACACAAAGTCACATTCCATTAACAAATGTTCATTATTAAACTTCTGCCCAGTGAGAGAGACCGTGAACATTTTCTAAAAATGTTCAATGTTTTGAGAATATACTCCTAAACTGTTAGTGAAATTTTATGCCAAAATCTCTATTTCACTGAAATTTCTTTGATAATATATGTTTAGAAAAGACTGATAGAAACGTATAGTTATCTTCAAATGAAGTCGTTTGGAGACAAATCTAAATCCTAGTATATGTAAGGCTTTGCCACAATAAGCTTATTACTATTATTTGCCAAAATGTTTCTTTTTCCATACCTGTAAATTCAAATTAAACAAAAAGGACTTTGATAGTGAGGACACTAATGTAAGCCCATCAAAAAATTACTATTGGGCTGGGAATTTAGCTCAGCGGCACAGCACCTGCCTGGCAAGCACAAGGTCATGAGTTTGATTCCCGGTACTGGAGAAAAACCAAAAAAAAAAAAAAAAAAATTATTACTAAAGTGTATTCTTTACACACTTATAATATTGCATTCAAATTGGCCGGACGTGGTGGCGCACGCCTGTAATCCCAGCACTCGGGAGGCTGAGGCAAGAGGATCGCTGCGAGTTCAAGACCAGCCTGCACTACAAAGTGAGCTCAAGGCCAGCCTGAACTGCATAGCGAGACCCTGTCTCAAAAAGACAAAAAAACACAAACAAAACAATATTGTATTCAAATTTCACTAGTTAAGATCCTGGGCTACACACACTAAAATGAGAGGTGGGGAGATTTCCTCCCCCTCAGTGGTCCATCGTGAGGGCCCACTGCTGGGACCTGAAGCTCAAAGTCCACAACCAGCTCCTCAGCACGAGTGCCGTACAGAGAAAGGCTGTAAGACTTCAAAGAAAGTCAGTTATTTCGGCAACAGCCATGGCGTCCACATAAGCAGGCATTCAGACATATCCAGCAGTGTCAGAGGGACCGCAGTTCCATCACAAAGTAATCCCAGAACTCATGTGCATTTTATAAATGTGATTCTGATGACAGATAATTCAATTTACCTTTACAGACCCTGAAATGCAGTTTTCTTTAGCTCTGTCCATGACTCCTGAAAAGAAAAAGAGACTTTAAATGAAGCCAACTGCTTCCCAGTGTTCTTATGCCGAGTAGTTACAGCTCCCTGAAGAAAAGATTTCCACAGCACCCGGAATTTTAGACTTCTTGTTCAAATGAAGCTGATCAGGGAATTTTCTTGTCTGATACACAAAATGTACAAGTGTCTGGCTTTCCCAAAAGCCCAAGCCTGCCTTGTACACTGTAGCCCATTTCATCTCCTCAGACCTCACTCCTCCTGTCTGTCTCTCTGCGCTGTTATCGTCTGTCTAATGGACCGCTTTGCCCGCGTAGACCTGCTGGAATACCTGCTACCTTACAAAGTCCCATTTGTCCCTCCATTGCCTCAAGCCAGGGCCCCACCTCTCACCGCCCCTTCCAACAGCAAAGCCCTACCCCTGCAGGTCTCAGGTCAAGGTTACGCCTTAACAACAGGTAAGAAGAGCTTGTATCTCTCAGATCAGCTGCAACTTCTGAAGTGATACGAAAACCACCCACTTTTTTTTTTTTTTTTTGTCTTTTTGAGACAGGGTCTCGCTATGCAGTTCAGGCTAGCCTTGAGCTCACTCTGTAGCCCAGGCTGGTCTAGAAATGGCAACGATCCTCCTGCCTCAGCCTCCCGAGTGCAGGGACTACACGTGTGTGCTACCAGGCCCAGCTGAACCACCCACTCTTATCTCTACTGTTTTTTCACCCCAGCCCTCACACCAAGCCCATTTCCAAGGACTATTTCACACCTGCCCAGGAGCAGGAGAGAAAGTGAAGAACGCATCAGAGCCTCTCAAATCGCTGGGACTGCAGGTGTGCACCACCTTGCTGGCTTGAATGTTTTAACCTGTTCTCCCCCGCCCCTCCTCACAGCACTGAGGATCCATCCTCGGCCACTCTATCACTGAGCTCTTTTTACTTTGAGACGAGGTCTTGTTATGTTGTTGGGAATGAACCAGTCCCTGGGAGACCCAGGATTTAGTCTTTGGACCCTCCCCTTCCCCATCTACTCCTTCCCAGGGGCCTCCTCTGACGCCTGGGCGCTAAACATTTTACTAGAGTAATTTAAAAGTGCAGCTTCTGCCCTAACCCCTTCCTCTGACTGCTGGACTCAGATACCCAAGTAGCTGCTCTGGAGCTCCCAGAAATACCTTCCAGGCACCTCAGTCCTAACCCCTACAAAAGGGAACCTTGTCTCACCGCAGCACTTTCTCCTCCCTGTTCATGGGGTGCCCTGAGCTCTAAGCCCAGCAGTATGTCCCCGTGTCTGCTCTCGCTCTCAAGTTCATCCATTCTCTTAGCTTCCAATACTCATCTGCAGGCTGGAGATGCCCGAATATCCGTCTCCAGCCCAGACCTCTCCCAAGTTCCAGACTTAACTTATTTTCTCTACAACATTTCCACCTGGTTATGTGTAAGGCATCTCAATTTTAGCATGCCCCAAACTGAAGTTTCAACCCCTACGCTCTCATAACCTCACTAAGCTTGTTCTCACCAATGTCATCCTCTCACCTCAGGGCAGGCCCATGCTGCCAGCTGCGGGGGCCAAAAGCCTTAGCATAACCCTGCATGCGGTTATGTCTCTCTCAACCCTGTTGCCAATCCATCACCATATTTTCTAGGCTCTGTCTTCAAATCCCACTGCTCACTCCCTCTACTGCTAACTGATCTAACTGTAACTCTGTTCCCCATATTGTTATTTGCAAGAAACTCCCAGCGGTTTCCGCACTTCCACCCTTGCCCTACTATGGTTCATTCTCAACAGTGCAGCCAGCAACCCCATTAACCCGGCGCATGTGTTGGTCCTTGGTTCAGAAGCTCGCCCTGGCCCCCCAACTTAAGCAAAAAATTCAAACTCTCACCTGCAAAGACAGCTCTATGAAGCCTCGGAATGTAGACCCGACCGCTGTTCTGACTGTATCTCCTTTTATAAACAGCACAGCAGCCATACAAGGTCCTCTGCACCGGGCCTCTGAACTTGCTGCTCCCACTACCTGTGAGGCTGTTCCCACTCCATTTCGTTCAGATCTCTGCTCCATACGGTGCCCCCCTCCACAATCTTCTCCCCCTCCTTTTCTCCATATTCTCCGCATCGGTTTACTATCTCTCCAAACTCATATCCAGCTACTGTACTTGCTTATAATCTCCACAGAAGTAAGTTCTCAAAGAGCAAAGGCTTAGTCCTGTTGTGTTTACCGTAGCTCCCCTGGAAAGCAGAACACTGCCTGGCATATAACACAGCTGCTCCAATGCTTTGGGAATGAACTAATCCACTGGCAGAGGAAATCAATACTAACAGCAGGTTAGCGGGGTGTGGTGGTGCTCACCCATAATCCCAGCATTTAGGGAAGTTGAGGTAGGAGGTCCAAAATGTGAATGCCTCCTCCCACTTTCAACAATGTGGCAAGAACCTGTCTCAAAGTAAAAAGGGCTGGGGATGTAGATCAGTGGTAGAGGGCCCTGGGTGAACCTTCAATATGCACTCCCCACCCCCAACGCCCCAACAGGTTAAAACATTCAAGCCAGGAAGGTGGTGCACATCTGTAATCCCAGCTACTTGAGGGTCTAATGCCTCCTTCACTTTCCCACAACCATTAAAGTAGCAGACTAATAAGATCACACAGACCCAAGGACTTTTACTCCGCATTCTTCTGACAAGAGCTACAGACATTTGCTCCAATTTACTATGCTTTTGTTTCTCAGGAAGATGAACAGTAAGTAAAGGTTCCTGCGGAAGGACTCCCCCTCCCCGCCACAAAGACTGCTCTTCAGGTGATTCGGATCTGCAGCTGGGTTCAGGAACCGCATGACCAGATGACCTTCACATGTATTCAGTTCAAACCTGCTATTTACTACCCTAAGTAGGAAGACTTAACATAGACAATTCATACTTGTCTTTTCCTCCTTCGCACCTAAAAAATGTCTCCAGATGTGAGAGGGACAAAGAAGTTCATTGCCGAAGAGTCTAATTAAAAGAACTGAAAGCTGAGGGGGTGGAAACATTAAAAAAAAAAAAGTCAAAGACAGCAGCCACATCTACCTCAGCGGATGGTCGTTAGAAGTGGAATCTTGGCTCCAACCCCAGTGTAATCAGCCAGCATGCACTGGTGGGACCTAACATTTAATCAAGAGGGGGAAAAAAAAAAAGAATCCCCAGGAGAGCTTGTTAATGCCACCTGAGTCCGATCCTCGGGCGATTCTAATTTTTAGTGTGTCGGCAGTGGGGCTATATTTTGAGCCAGGACCTCAAGTAATTCAAGGGGTTTGGGAAGCAGTTGCACAGAAAGGCCTTTGCGACCAGGGTCTCGTGCATGGATTTACTCACCGACCCAGCCAGGACTTCCCCAGTTCGCCCCCCTTACCAGACCCCAAAACCACACTACTGTATTTTGTCCTTCACAACACCCCCCAGAACTGCAAGATACCCTTCTAGCTCCTACGTCTGTCTCCCCAGCCCTACCAGAACGTAAACCCCAGGACTGCAAAGGCACTTTCATTACCCAGTTGGTCACCCATCAGAAAGCCACTCAACAGCCCTTTCCACTTCAGCCATAAAACCTAACACAGCATCTTACAAAGCATCCGGCACCTCGGGGCAGTGAAGGCGCAGCGGACTGGATTGGAAAAAGGACGCCTCACCCTGATCCTATCCTCCCGGCTCGCAGGTCCTACATCCCCGAAGACCACCCCGGCCGCGGCCCCAACCTACCAACCCGCCGGCTGTCCTGCATTCAAGCCAAGGCCACCGAGTCCTTGCAAAAGCTCAACCGTTACGATTCAAAGGTTCCGCTTTTAAAATATGAGTTAAACCCTCTAATCTGAAAGCTGATTGGCCAGTGCTACAGGGGAAGCTGCTTCGTGATAGGATGACAGAGAACGCGATAATCTGTTCACGTTAGGGGGCGCAAGCGAAGCGCAGGCGCACTAGCGCGGAAGAGCCCGGAAGTAGTGGACCAACGGTCCGCCAGACCCAGGACTTTTCCAGCTCCCTCCAGCGGTCTCTCTACGGTCGGACATTTGTCCGTGAAGCATCCCCTTGGCATGAGGGTTGTCTCATAGGAACTAAAGTCAGAGGAAGTGAACGGAATTCTCTAACTTGCTAATAAGTAAGATTGGGAGAGGGGCCGAGGAGAGTGGGACAATCGACAGTGCAGCGCTCAGCAAGGTGGCCTGTGCGCGTGCGCAGTGAGCGTGCGCTCAGAGCGATCCATTGGTCGGACACGCGCCTCCATTTTTCTAGGAGGGAGCGGGAGGAGGAGAACCGGATCCGCGGGTACGGAGGTCGGGGGGTCCTGGGAGAGTGGCTGATGCGGTTGGCTGGGGCCTTTAGTGTGCCGCGTGAAGGAGTGGAGGCTGGAGGGAGGCGAGCGGGGACCGAGGCGAGGCTGGAGGGTCGGAAGCGAGCGGGGACCGAGGCGCCCCTTCGTGTTTCCGTCGTTGCCCGGCCGGGCCTGCACCCCGTTCCGCTCAGCGCCTCGCCGCCGCCTTCCGCCCGCGCTGCGTCCCCTCGGGGCGCGATGGCGGCGGAGGGTACGGTGGGCAGGGGCTCTGCGCCCTTACCCCGGTCCCGTTCTACCGCAGGCCTGGGTCCGGTTCTTCCTGTCTTGCCCTCGGGCCTCAAGGTCCTCACTTGCGAATTGGACAGATGAGGCTTCCAGCCCCGCGAGCCCAGGTCCTGTGACAGTCGAAACGTGAGGGCTCGACCACTTTGGTTGTCGGGCCGGGGATCGAACCTTCGCAGTGAGTTACGTCCCCAGTCCTTTTTGGGGCGGCTGGGGGAGACAGTGTCCCCAGTCTCAAAAAACTTTCAGCTCTCCCGCCCCAGTCTTCTCGGTGCTCATTCCAACATCTTCGCTTCCCAGTATTTTCTGCACATACATTTGTTTCTACGTCTACTTGAATACTTTTGTTTAATGAGCTAATACTTGTGAAATACTTAAACCTAGCATTTGGCAGATTGGAAGTGCTTAATATATGTTGTTAGAGGGGCTGGGGGTTTAGCTCAGCGGCACAGCGCCTGCCTGGCAAGC